ATGGATGATGATGGATGATGACGGATGATGATGGATTATGATGGATGATGATGGATGATGATGGATGATGATGGATGATAATGGATGGTGATTGATGGTGGTTGATTATGTTTGATGGTGACTGATGGTGATTGATCGTGATTGATTATGTTTGATGGTGTTGATGATGATTGGTGATGATTGTGATGATAGTTATGATGGTGGTGGCGGTGATGAGGATGAGGATGATGAGGATGGTGGTGATGGTGAGGAATTATGGGGATGATGACGACCTAGACAATGATGATGCAAAAAAGGTTAAAGCTAATGTGCTGGACAGACTAGTGTAGATTAGACTAGACTAGACTAGACTATACGAGACGAGACTAGACTATAGTATATATGTGGAAGCGGGGGTGGGGTGGGGGGGGTTGGGCAGCGGAGCAATCTATAGGCGAAGCTAAAACAACAAGGTTTGTAACAAGAACATCCACGAAACACACCGGCAGGCCGGTGGACTTGCTTTTTGGTTTGTGAAGATGTTGAGAGGTTCCCCTACTCACCCTTTCATGATGCAGGTTCGAAGGCGGCCGAAACTCCTGCAAAAGCCAAAGCTGCTGCAAAGGGAGCTGCTAAGCCAGCCGTCAAGCCAGCCACCAAGCCAGCAGCAAAGGCAGTTGCAAAGCCAGGCAGGAGCATCCACAGAAGGGCGAGAGCTGGCAGAGGACTGCGTCAGATGGATTTATTGGGGACATGTGCATATACAGTTGTGCCAAGGCTCTATCGTGGCTGAACGAAACGATTAAGGTGTGTGCGTGTGTGTGTGTGTGTGCCCTTCCGTGTTGCATCACTGTGTTGCCCCTGCCTGTGTGTCCCCCATTTGCTCCCGCAATATTATTGTGGATGGCTGTCAACAACTCAACAACTCAACAACCTAGTCAGTGAGGGTAGACAGACGCGGGGTTGCTTCTGGTCACCGCCGCTCTGGGCTTGCGTAACGGTAGGACTATGTGATAATTTTGCTGGGGAATGCGCCTGTCAAATAACGACTGGCAGCGGTTCAGCAGTCTGCAAACGGGCTGAGGCTTTGTTTGGCAAGGGAGGCCCATCCATCCATTGGGTCGATCGAAAACCGCTTCAGAAACTAACGGCGATTCAGAAACTATCGCGATTTAACTATCACGATTCACAAACTAACCGGTTCAGAAACTATCACGATTCAGAAACTACGATTCAGAAACTATCACGATTCAGAAACTATACGATTCAGAAACTACGATTCAGAAACTATCGAGCTTCAGAAACTAAGGACGAGAGGATTTTCAAATTCCCACCCTCATGGAACTTCAAATTGACTTGGACTGTCCAAAACGGTAAGACGATATCAAAATTCCAACCCGCATGGAACTTCAAATTGTCTTGGACTGCCCACAAGGATAAGATGATATCAAAAGTCCCACCCTCATGGAACTTCAAATTGACTGTCCACAAGGATAAGATGATATCAAAAGTCCCACCCCCACGGAACTTCAAATTGACTTGGACTGTCCACAAGGATAAGATGATATCAAAAGTCCCACCCCCATGTAACAGCAAATTGACGTGGACTGTCCACAAGGATACGATGATATCAAAAATCCCACCCCACGGAACTTCAAATTGACTTGGACTGTCCACAAAGAAAAGATGGTGTCAAAATTCCCACCCCCATGGAACTTCCAACTGACGTGCATGGACTGTCCACAAGGATAAGATGATATCAAAGTTCCCGACCCCATTGAATTTCAAATTGACTTGGGCTGCCACGAGGATGAGAAGATATCAAAATTCCCACCCCCATGAAACGTCAAATTGACTTGGACGTTCCACAAGGATATGGTGATATCAAAATTACCACCCCCATGGAACTTCAAATTCACTTGAATTGTCCACAAGGATACGATGATATCAAAAATCCCACCCCCATGGAACTTCAAATTGACTTGGACTGCCCACAAGGATAGGATGATATCCAAATTCCCACCCCCATGGAACTTCAAATTGACTTGGACTGTCCAAAACCGTAAGACGATATCAGAGTTCCCATCCCCATTGAACTTCAGATTGTCTTGGACTGCCCACAAGGATAAGATGATAGCACAATTTCCATCCATATGGAACTACAAATTGACTTGGACTGTGCACGAGGATCAGATGATATCAAAACGCCCACCCCCAAGGAACTTCAAATTGACTTGGACTGTCCACAAGGATGAGATAATATCAAAATTCCCACCCCCACGGAACTTCAAATTGACTTGGACTGTCCACAAGGATAAGATGATATCAAAAGTCCCACCCCCATGTAACAGCAAATTGACGTGGACTGTCCACAAGGATACGATGATATCAAAAATCCCACCCCACGGAACTTCAAATTGACTTGGACTGTCCACAAAGAAAAGATGGTGTCAAAATTCCCACCCCCATGGAACTTCCAACTGACGTGCATGGACTGTCCACAAGGATAAGATGATATCAAAGTTCCCACCCCCAAGGAACTTGAAATTGACTTGGGCTGTTCACAAGGGTAAGATGATATCAAACTTCCCATCTCCATAAATTCAAATCGACTTGGACTGCCCACAAGGATAAGATGATTTCCAAATTCCCACCCCCATGGAACTTCAAATTGACGTGGGCTTTCCACAAAGATACGATGATATCAAAATTCTTACCTCCATGGAACGTCAAATTGACTTGGACTGTCCACAAGGATGAGATAATATCAAAATTCCCACCCCCACGGAACTTCAAATTTACTTGGACTGTCCACAAGGATTCCGCGGTTTTTGTTTGCAAATCGTAGTTTCCGAATCTTAGTTTCCGAATTCGCGTGCCTGGTAGTTTTCGAGTTTCCGGCGTTTCCGGCTTTAGTTTCTGAATCCGTGCTTTTAGTTTCCGAACCTTAGTTTCCAAATCTGCGGTTTCAGTTTCCGAATCTTAGTTTCCGAACCCGCGGTTTTAATGTTCGAAACTTAGTTTCCGAATCCGCGTGTCTGTTATACTGTAGTTATTTTCGAATCTGCGGTTTTAGTTTCCGAATCCGCACTTTTAGTTTCCGAATCCGCCCTTTTAGTTTCCGAATCCGCGCTTTAGTTTCCGAATCACAGTTTCCGAATCCCCGTTCCCCTTAGTTTCCGAATCCTCTGTTTTTAGTTTCCGAATCTTAGTTTCCGAATCCGCGCGCCCGTTAATTTCCAAATCCGCGGTTTTAGTTTCCGAACCCGCGCGTGACCCATTGTGTCCATCAATCTGTTTGTCTGTCTGTCTGTCCGTCCGTCCGTCCGTCGGTCGGTCTGTCTGTCTGTCTGTCTGTCTGTTTGTCTCTGTCTATCTTCCCTTTGTCAGTCCATCTTGCTCTGTCTGTTCTTCCTTTCTGAACCCAACCTTCATTATCCATTATTATCATTCATTATCATCATCTAATCTAATCTCTCTTCTTTCTTCTGAGGCTTAACATGTGGGGTGGCTTCCGGTCTCCTTTCAGTTTCAGAAGTTTTGTCTTCGGGCACTTTGTTGCGACAGGCTCGGAAGAGCTGGTTGAGGCGGAGATTCTGCTAGCAGACGACAAGAAAGCCACTCTCAAGGCCCTTCAGCGACAGAATAGGTCAGGACATGTCAGGACCATCATGTAAGTCCATGGAACACTTCTCGATGAAGGTCAAAGGCACTTGTTGAAAACATTTCACATATTTCAGGTGGCCAAGGATGTCAAATTTAGAGATAGGCTGGTGAACGGAGGGCAATCTTGTTAGCCATCTTGCTTGCGGAACATTTGCAGACGCAGGTGTCCTCCACGGAGGAACTGGCTGATGCAGTGGAAAGGCAGGTGTGTTGCGATTTAATCTCGCATTGCCAAAAGATGCACGATATTGTACGATACATTAGGATGCTATATGCGCAGACTTATGGCGCATAGTAATCAAATGCGGAAATCACTCGCGTATGTATATGTTTAGGTATTGTTATATTATGTTATAATCCCTTCCTCCTAATACTAAACGTCCCCCTAATACTAAAAACAGGCATCCATCTCCAATTTCCGAAAAATTCAGTTTGGCCAATTTGACTTTTAATTGATCCCCTTTAAAAAACAATTTAAAAATCAACCTACCATTTGTGGGTTCTCCCCCCTAATACTAAAAACTAGTTCACCCCGGGGTGTTTAGTATTAGGGGGGCCTAGTCCCAATCCCTCACTCCAAGCTGCCTAGCTACTCTAGCAATTAGGGGTAAGCTTCTAACTGCCATTTTTGGCAATATTTTAATTGCGTTATATAAGGAAATTTAATTGATTTTGAGATCGGAAAAAATAGTTTTTAGTATTAAGGGTTTTAATTTAGTATTAGGGGTAAGCTTCGAACTGCCATTTTTGGCAATATTTTAATTGCGTTATATAAGGAAATTTAATTGATTTTGAGATCGGAAAAAATAGTTTTTAGTATTAAGGGTTTTAATTTAGTATTAGGGGTAAGCTTCGAACTGCCATTTTTGGCAATATTTTAATTGCGTTATATAAGGAAATTTAATTGATTTTGAGATCGGAAAAAATAGTTTTTAGTATTAAGGGTTTTAATTTAGTATTAGGGGTAAGCTTCGAACTGCCATTTTTGGCAATATTTTAATTGCGTTATATAAGGAAATTTAATTGATTTTGAGATCGGAAAAAATAGTTTTTAGTATTAAGGGTTTTAATTTAGTATTAGGGGTAAGCTTCGAACTGCCATTTTTGGCAATATTTTAATTGCGTTATATAAGGAAATTTAATTGATTTTGAGATCGGAAAAAATAGTTTTTAGTATTAAGGGTTTTAATTTAGTATTAGGGGTAAGCTTCGAACTGCCATTTTTGGCAATATTTTAATTGCGTTATATAAGGAAATTTAATTAATTAATTAACATGACTTCGATTTGGTTCCCTAATATTAAATACCCCCCTAATACTAAAAACTACCTGCCGTGTTTTGTATTAGGGGGGGGGTTTAGTATTAGGAGGAAGGGATTATTCATTCATTCGTTCGTCCGTTTGTTCGTTCATTCATTCCTTCCTTCCATTCATTCATTCCATTCATTCATTCCATTCATTCGTTCCATTCATTCGTTCCATTCATTAGTTCCATTCATTCATTCATTCATTCATTCAGTCATTCATGCATTCATGTATTGACCTATACATGTATGCACACACATATACGGTAACGACATTTAAATATGTGGAGGGCGGGCCAGACTGCGAGGCCCCGGAGGTAGTATGAAACACCAGTTCCATCCGTATGTTTAAATGGCTGGGCCCGTTCCGCATATATTCTAATGTCGATTCAAGCACACTTGAATTAGCTAAGGACCTCCAAGGAAATTTTCAGCCTACCCTGGAGTTTGTAAAGTACTATAGGCTATAGGTGGTAAAATATGGGGGTTGTGAGTGAGTGGGTCCTGGTTTTGTGATTGATTTATGGCCGTTTTGTCGTGGTTTTATGGTGGGTTTATCGTGGATGCATGGTGATTTTGTACTGAATTTATGTTGGGCTTTATGTTGGGTTTTATGTTGGGTATATGGCTGTTTTGTCATGGGCTTATGGTGGTATAATGGTCGGTCTATGGTGGTTTTATCGTGATTTTGTCGCAGATTTAGGATTGTTTGGTGATGGATTTAATATGGTGACCACCACAAATCCACCAGAATTCCCCCTTGAATTCCCCTAGAATTACCCTAGAATTCTACCAGAATCTACGGAAAACTTCCCGGAAGTAGCCAAAAATCCCAGTTCGTATATTTTGAATCCGTATGTTTAAGTGACTGGGCGGGCCACGGAAAACCTTCCCGGAGGTAGTCTAAAATACCAGCTCGTATATTTAAAAATCCGTATATTTAAATGTAGTTACGGTATATTTAATATATATTTTTTTTTATTTTTACATACGTATAAGTTTTTGTGTATGTATAATCTATTTATTGTATGGATATATAATTTTTATGTATCAATATATATATACAATTTATTATATATATATATATTATATGTATATATATAATATATATATATATATGTATATATATACTTGTACGTGTATATGAACATGTGTATAAAGAATTGCTTTTGATTCAGGGCTGTTTGAATTTGATTTGGGGTAAGAATTGAAATTTGCAGTCATGGTTTTAGATACTGTAAGGTTTATATATATATATATCGAAGGTATCCTTCGTACTAAATGCCAGCGAGATACATTAATTTGTATCCTGATCCGTTCTGGTTTCCCGGAATTAGACTTCTGGAGCCCCGTTTGTTTTCAAAATCGCCCGTTGCATAGTATTGGTATTTACTATAACGGTCCAATAGATTCAAGTAGTATATCCATCCAGACTATCCTTTTCAAATTCATATTTATCATTACTTCCCCATGTCAGACTTTATTTCTTTGCTCATTCACCAGATTTTTTATATGGGTCCCCCCGTTAAGGATTCCACCCCCTCGTTTTGGATTTTGTCCCCTCCTTACGTTCTAAACCCCCAACACTTGTAAATGCATTCCCCCATTGAAGTTTCCGAATATTGATTTCCGAATGTTTTCCCTATATCTTTTTTTGAAAGAATCCCAGTGTCGTGCGGCGATTGATATATAAATGCACCATAGATATATGTTTATTCCAGCTCCATTATTTGAATAGATTTTTTCAAGTTGTTAAACAATGTGTTTGAATAGTGTGAACGTTTTGTTTTAATGCAGCTAAATAATGGAAGCATTCATATAAGTACAACGTGTTCATCTAGGCGCCACGACGGCGCAAAGCACAGTATGCCGCTGAATGATCATAAGTTTTCACTAAGTTGTTGTAACAAATTTCTAGCCTGAGATCCTGCTCACGCGTGATAAAATGCGGCTCAAAAGTGGTAAGTAAACATCCAATATTGATGATATGTTCAATGCTGTTGGGCCTAAGTCCAGTGCACAAAACGCGCTCCCCGATGAAGGACGGAAAAAAAAAACAGAATCCTGGGGTTGAGGTGGGGTTCACCCTATCTTGGGGGGTACAAAACGTGCGGCTGACTTAGGAAGAAACGTGCCTCAGACCCTAGATTTGGGACGATTTTTTTTCCCATTTCGCGAATGGGACTTAGGACCAAAACTCAAAATCCATAGGTTTTCGTTAAATTAATTTGGGTCGTTCGAGCCGGATTTAGGACGTTTTTTTTCAGCCTATCTCAAGACCCATTATCAAGCACAGGACGCACTTTGTTCTTATTTTTGTTGGCAGCTTGCAGCCAGACAATACAGGCGGCACAGGCCCACCCAGAAAATATATGCAAACTGGTGACATCAGATTGAAGATGTTTTAGTTTTAGGTTAACCCGTTAGAAGGTTGGAAAATTACATATTCATACTTCTGCGCGTTCAGCACACTGCAAAATGTTTGGGGAAAATCATCTATTCAACCCGTGGAAGATCCTCAGATTTGGTCAACGCCACCTATCCCTTTTTTTGTATCATAAATGGATCCTGATGTTTGCCATTGGATGGATTCCCTGCCGGTTGGATCCAAATAGATAAGCGGTTAAAAAATTGTCAGTCATTGATGTTGCGCCTCTGAATCTGATGTTGTATTAGGCAGTGGGCTTCATGATTCTTTCCATTTCCTTTGGTTTGGTGTTGGAAATAATGCTGCACACCATGAATTAAAAGGAATTAAAGGACCATGTATCAGTTTCAATGCACGTGCAAAACCAAAGAAAATCAAATAAAGCCAGACCTTGTGTATACGTGCATCTTCGGAGTCGTCGCATTTTTAAAACTGTCTGCTATGGTATGAGCGTAACGATTTTATCAAATACATACATATATATATATGTATATATATAGATATATATACATCCGATTCCCTTGGTCCTGGAGTTAGATGCCAAAAAGTAACTTATTTCCAACTTATCTAAGAAACTAGACAACGGATGGCCCGAGAGCGTAGAGGAGCAAGGTCTTCTGTTGCTAGTATACAGATACTATAATATTACAAGACAAAATATTAAAGATTTATAGGCAGACGAGAAGGGTAGTATCATGACAATATGTTACTAGTAAAAGACAAAAGTTTGCATCGTATCCTTCGTATAGTTTTTCACACACAGAACCTTTTACACACAGACGCTTTTGCACACAGAAGCTTTTACACACAGAAGCTTTTACACAGACACTTTTACACACGGACACTTTTACACACAGACGCTTTTCACAAACACTTTCACACACAGAGACTTTTACACACAGAAGCTTTTACACACAGAAGCTTTTACACACTGAAGCTTTTACACACAGACGCTTTTACACACACACTTTCACACACAGAGACTTTTACACACAGAAGCTTTTACACACAGACGCTTTTACACACAGACGCTTTTACACGCAAACACTTTCACACACAGAGACTTTTACACACAGAGGCTTTTACACACAGAAGCTTTTACACGCAGACGCTTTTACACACAGAAGCTTTTACACACAGATACTTTTACACACGAACTTTTACACACAGACACTTTTACACACAGACGCTTTTACACACAGACTTTTACACAACACTTTCACACACAGAGACTTTTACACACAGAGCTTTTACACACAGAAGCTTTTACACACTGAAGCTTTTACACACAGACGCTTTTACACACACACTTTCACACACAGAGACTTTTACACACAGAAGCTTTTACACACAGACGCTTTTACACACAGACGCTTTTACACGCAAACACTTTCACACACAGAGACTTTTACACACAGAGGCTTTTACACACAGAAGCTTTTACACGCAGACGCTTTTACACACAGAAGCTTTTACACACAGATACTTTTACACACAGAACTTTTACACACAGACACTTTTACACACAGAAGCTTTTACACACATACGCTTTTACACACAGACACTTTTACACACAGCACTTTTACACACGGACACTTTTACACACAGACGCTTTTACACACAAACACTTTCACACAAAGAGACTTTTACACACAGAAGCTTTTACACACAGATACTTTTACACACAGCACTTTTACACACAGACACTTTTACACACAGACGCTTTCACAGACAGACGCTTTTACACACAGACACTTTTACACACGGACGCTTTTACCGCTTTTACACACTGAGACTTTTACACAGACGCTTTTACACACAGACGCTTTTACACACAGCCCCTTTTACACACAGAAGCTTTTACACACAGAAGCTTTTACACACAGACGCTTTTACACACAGACACTTTTACACACAGACACTTTTACACACAGATGCTTTTCCACAGACGCTTTTACACACAGACGCTTTTACACACAAACACTTTCACACACAGAGACTTTTACACACATACGCGTATACACACAGACGCATTTACGCACAGACACTCTTACACACAGACGCGTTTACACACAGAAGCTTTTACACACAGAGACTTTTGCAGACAGAGGCTTTTACAGACAGAAGCTTTTACGCACAGACGCTTTTACGCAGAGACGCTTTTACCCACATACGCTTTTACACACAGGAGCTTTTACACACAGAGGCTTTTACACACAGCACTTTTACACACAGACACTTTTACACACGGACGCTTTTACACACAAACACTTTCACACAAAGACTTTTACACACAGAAGCTTTTACACATACGCTTTTACACACAGGAGCTTTTACACACAGAGGCTTTTACACACAGCACTTTTACACACAGACACTTTTACACACGGACGCTTTTACACACAAACACTTTCACACACTGACTTTTACACACAGAAGCTTTTACACACAGAAGCGTTGACACGCAGACGCTTTTACACACAAGCGCTTTACACACAGAAGCTTTTACACATAGGCGCTTTTACACACAGGCACTTTTACACACAAACACTTTTACACAAACACTTTTACACACAGACGCTTTTTCCCGAGAGCGTCTGAGCGCAGGGTTCTTCCAATAGTGGGGGTCCGTATCTCATCTTCTCATCTTCACACCTTCTCATCTTCACACCTTCTCTCACACCTTCTCATCTTCACATCTGCTCATCTTCACATCTGCTCATCTTCACATCTGCTCCTCTTCACATCTTGTCCTCTTCTTATCTTCTCATCTTCACATCTGCTTATTCTCACGCACTCACATCTTCACATCTGCTCATCTTCACATCTGCTCATCTTCACATCTGCTCCTCTTCACATCTTCTCATCTTCACATCTGCTCATCTTCACATCTGCTCCTCTTCACATCTTCTTATCTTCACATCTTCTCATCTTCACATCTTCTCATCTTCACATCTGCTCATTTTCACATCTGCTCATCTTCACATCTTCACATCTTCACATACTCGCACTCACATCTTCACATACTCACACCTTTTCTCTCTCTCACTCTCTCTCCTCTTTCCTCTCTCCTTTCTCTCTCTCCTTTCTCTCTCTCCTTTCTCTCTCCCTTTTCTCTCTCTCGCCTTCTTTACCTTTCTCTCTTTAGGCCGAGGGTGGTGCCGGCGGGGAGTCACGAAACGTGAACCTTTTCGCACGAAATGAGGATCGATCGTCAAAAACTGAGGTAAAATTGCGATTTTACTTGTCCCGGAGCAACCCTTTCGCACGAAATGAGGGCCTATCGTCAAAAACTGAGGTAAAATTGCGATTTTACTTGTGCCGGACTTGTCCTGGAGCAACCAACCCTTTCGCACGAAATGAAGGCCGATCGTCAAAAACTGAAGAAAAATTGCGATGTTACTTGTCCCGGACTTGTCCTGGAGCAACCCTTTCGCACGAACTGAAGGTCGATCGTCAAAAACTGAGGTAAAATTGCGATTTTACTTGTGCCGGACTTGTCCTGGAGCAACCCTTTCGCACGAAATGAGGGCCGATCGTCAAAAACTGAGGTAAAATTGCGATTTTACTTGTGCCGGACTTGTCCTGGAGCAACCCTTTCGCACGAAATGAAGGTCGATCGACAAAAACTGAAGTAAAATTGCGATTTTACTTGTGCCGGAGCAACCCTTTCGCACGAAGCGAGGCTCGATGTGCAAAAACCGAGGTAAAATTGCGATGTAACTGGTGTTGGATGTAAAAGGCTGTGAGTGAAAGATCTGCTTGTAAAAGCTGTTTGTGTGTAAAAGTGTTTGTGTGTAAAAGCGTCTGTGTGTAAAAGCGTCTGCGTGTAAAAGCGTCTGTGTGTAAAAGTGTTTGTGTGTAAAAGTGTTTGTGTGTAAAAGTGCCTGTGTGTAAAAGCGTCTATGTGTAAAAGCTTCTGTGTGTAAAAGCGCTTGTGTGTAAAAGCGTCTGCGTGTCAACGCTTCTGTGTGTAAAAGCTCCTGTGTGTAAAAGGGTCTTTGTTAAAAGTGTCTGTGTGTAAAAGTGTCTGTGTGTAAAAGCGTCTGTGTAAAAGCGTCTGTGTGTAAAAGCTTCTGTGTGTAAAAGCTTCTGTGGGTAAAAGCTTTGTGTGTAAAAGCGTCTGTGTAAAAGCGTCTGTGTGTGTAAAAGCTTCTGTGTGTAAAAGCTTTTGTGTGTACAAGCGTCTGTGTGTAAAAGGGTCTGTGTGTGAAAGTGTCTGTCTGTAAAAGCTTCTGTGTGTGAAAGCTTTTGTGTGTAAAAGCTTCTGTGTGTAAAAGCTTTCGTGTGTAAAAGCGTCTGTGTGTAAAAGCTTCTGTGTGTAAAAGTGTTTGCGATGCAAGCTATTGTCTTGCACTTCTGCTATTTTGTCTTGATACTCCTCTTCTCGACTGCCTATAACACATCTTTAATATATTGTTTGTAATATGGTGTCTCCATACTAACAAGAGAAGACCCTGCTCCTCTACGCTCTCGGGCCATCCGTCATCCAGTTTTTACACAGAGACGCTTTTACACACAGCCCCTTTTACACACAGAAGCTTTTACACACAGACACTTTTACACACAGAAGCTTTTTTACACGCAGATGCTTGTGCACACAGACGCTTTTTCACACAGACGCTTTTACACAGAGACGCTTTTACACACAGCCCCTTTTACACACAGAAGTACCATTTTACCGCAGTTTTTGGTGATCAAACCTCATTTTGTGCGAAAGGGTTGCGCCGGACCCCTGCAATTCGCAATTTTGCGTCAGTTTTGGCGATCGAACTTCATTTCGTGCGAAAGGGTTGCGACCGGACCCGTGAAATCGCAATTTTACTTCAGTTTTTGGCGATCGAACCTCATTTTGTGCGAAAGGGTTGCGCCGGACCCCTGCAATTCGCAATTTTACGTCAGTTTTTGGTGATCGAGCCTCATTTCGTGCGAAGGGTTGCGCCGGACCCCTGCAATTCGCAATTTTACGTCAGTTTTGGCGATCGAACCTCATTTCGTGCGAAAGGGTTGCGACCGGACCCGTGAAATCGCATTTGCCGATCGAATTTCATTTCGTGCGAGAGGGTTGCGCCGGACCCGTGCAAATCGCAATTTTACGTCAGTTTTTGGTGATCGAACTTCATTTCGTGCGAAAGGGTTGCGCCGGACCCCTGCAATTCGCAATTTTACGTCAGTTTCTGGTGACCGCACCTCATTTCGTGTGAAAAGGTTGCGCCGGACCCGTGCAAATCGCAATTTTACGTCAGTTTTTGCCGATCGAACTTCATTTCGTGCGAAAGGGTTGCGCCGGACGCGTGACAATCGCAATTTTACGTCAGGTTTTGGCGATCGAACCTCATTTCGTGCGAAAGGGTTGCGTTTCGTGCCGTCTCGTTGGCACTGCCCCGCGCCTTAAAAGAGAAATAGAAAAGAAGGAGAGGGCAAGAGAGCAAGAGGGCAAGAGAGAATGTGAAGATATGAAGATTTGAAGATGAGAAGATGTGAAGATGTGAAGATGAGAAGATGTGAAGATGTGAAGATGAGAAGATGTGAAGATGAGAAGATGTGAAGATAAGCAGATGTGAAGATTAGAAGATGAAAAAGATTTGAGGATGTGAAGATATGAGGATGAGAAGATGTGAAGATTTCATGATGTTATGTGAAGATGTGAAAATGTTTGACAGACCCCCACTATTAGAAGAACCCTTCGCTCAGACGCTTTCGGGAAAACTGAAATAGTTAACATTAAAATGTATATATTCACAAATATTTCAAAAATAATATAAAATAATGGCTCCTTGCTAGACAATGTGCATATATATGGATCCACCTAAAGAAATCAAATTCCAGAGACCGACTTTCAATCGCAAAACCTCGTATGTTCATGTTTATACATATACTGCATGTGTGTTTATTTGTATTTGTGCATATATGTAGTATGTATATGTCTATGCGTACGTATATGCATGTGTATGTGTATGTATATGTGTATGTGTATGTGCAAGAATATGTATATGTGTATGTGTATGTGAATGTGTGTGTGTGTATGTGTATGTGTATGTTTATTTACTTACGTATGCAACGTGCATACGTATGTGGTGTGTATCTACATCTATGTATGCGTTATATATCTGCGATTATCTGCGCAGTTACTAACATAGTACAGATGGGTGCTTCCCATCCTTCACATTCCTTCACTTCCCCTTTGTTCGGCGATCAGTTTCGTGTTTGTGCCTTCAACTCTGGAGGTTCTGCAAGGAGAATGGCCTGGAAGAACAGCAGTCGAAACTGCTGTCCTGGTTGGAGAAACAGGCTAACAGGGTGATGTTTAACGTGACGCACATGGAAGTCTTGTTCGCTTGCAGCATTGCAGTCGTTTTGCATAGATTGTCATTGGGTATGTTTGGCGCACAAATATCGAATTTTGTCATCGTTGGGAGTGTACCACATCGACAGCTCCATAGGAAAGGGTGACCCGTACAGGAATGCACAAATATGTGCAGCCTACATTGAAGTTTAAGTGCTCAGTAAAAAAAAACGAGCAGGAGGAAACGACATAGCAAGACTGCTCAAGAAAATTCTCAAGACGGGGGAAAATGTCAATTTTGCATTTTAGCGTTTGATCATGTGTCACCGTTCCAATGATAACATATATGAACAAGAAAACGAATCCCTGGCAGATCATCCACAGCTCAGAAATCATTTAGGACGAATAGTTCAGGAACGAACTGCTGGCACACAGTAGACAACGCCAACACCAGGTAGCAATTCGGTCCAATGTTGTCTACTGAGCAAACAAGTAGGCCAGCATAGAGCCACAGCAATGGCGGTTTCGACAAAAATATAATGTAACCAAATTCCACTGGCCAGCAAACACAGCTCCGCAATGCTCAGCAAGACCAAGAATCTAGGAGAGCCCTTTCAATATGTTTAGATATGTCTTGAACGTGACGTTAATTTGCCAACATGTTTATATTTGACAAGGGCATGTTGTGGAAGCCTGCGTTTGAAATTGCAATGTTGGGACAGAGGCTTCCATGGCTTCCCAAAGAGAGCACTTCAATAAGATCAAACAGCTGTCGCTGAATGAGATCAGCCATGAAATCTTGCCAAAATAGAGCTGAATTTGCAAGCACGGAGCTTACCCAGAATAGAGTTTTTTGAATCATATAACATGCAACGGGCAGTTATCTTCCAAGTTTGTCTTCAGTGGATTCATGTTGGAATTCATGGGTCTATATAGATTCTAGATGCGTAGCATGAGGATGTATGAGGAATTTGGCCAATTTGTGGAAACCACGTGGCGTCCGGTGGTGTTTCGCCGACGCAGGTTGTGGATCCGAAAGGAAGTTCGACCTTGTCACTTGCCTGAAATTAGTGAAGATGCAGAGGATCAATGCGAGTGGCTAGCTAGAGGAATGGCTCACAGAGGAAATGTCACTGTCAAGGTGTATCACAGAGGGCAGCTAGCTGGAATGGCTCACATGTCCCCCGATTTGGATTCCCTGTTTGACCAAGCCTGCCACACTTTTGACACTTCATTGCAGCCCCTCAGCAGTGGATGAGTGTGGGAATGTGACGTTCAGTCCATGAATTGAATGCTGCCAGGAAAGTCGACATCAAGACGATTGCGTCCGGGAATTGATGTCTTGCTGCATGGCACCAATACATTCCACATTAATTGGAAGGGCGACCACACGTGCACAGGAGCTCTTTCGACTATTTTGTCACCGTTTTACAGCACCTAGGGCCACGATGGGCCACGGCAGAGGCCATGGCCTAGGTTGCACTCATGGAGGCAGAGGAGAAACAGGTTCGATTCAAGTGGAAGCTGGAGCAAATCGTGGCAAGGCGCAATCAATGATGAATTCATATGAAATCAAAGAACGGATGCAAAGGCATACAAAGGATTACAAAATATTACAAAGGTTCCAAATCAGGAACATTCCGTAATCTGGGACATCTATGCGTACCTATTTGCCTTCTGGTTGCCACGCATTGCGAGCAGATACAGTGTATGTGGTATTATGTATTTGTACATATTTGTCCATTTTGGTCCATTGGTTGCGATTGGTTGCCACTGGGTGGCCCCACTGCCGCAGCTTCCTTAGCAACGGCATATGCAAGATGATTAGTCATGGGGCAGGAAGAAACGGCGCAGATGGTTAGATGTGATGCGTCATTGCATTTGTCTATAGATACAGGGTGGTATTAGGATGTATTGGGCAATTTAGGTAGTTAGGCAGTACCTAGGTCTACATTTGCCGGGGTACTTTATGCCATGGTAAACCAAGCGGACATTCAGCCCATCCTTTTCAAATACAGCAAGCCAATGTAAGCCATGATAAGCCAGTCTTGCATGTGGAATATTAAGCCCTTACTACGAGGCTGAACCAGTCCTCTCAAGATTTCTCGGATTGTAGAATACAGATGAATCGAAGATTTTGTGGCAGCATGCTAGCATGCCTTCATGCCGCGGCGTAAGATAACTTCCTTGGACTTCGCGACTCGCTTTTTGCTGCTTCTTGGATTAAGATAGAGTTGTGAGTTCTGCAAATGGCTCTAGGTTTGTGGATCCTTCTCTGTTCTGGACTGTCAACGCTTTGAGATTCAATGCCAAAAGTTTGATTTTGCCGGAGGGTTTCAACATGTTTCAACAGAAGCAGTTTCCCTTTGCATGTTTTGTCCTCTCGTCTGCTCAAGGCGTTGCTTTGCTTTTTGGGCAGCTCCGCTCCTGTTTGTGATCTTGTGGCTAGGCATCACTAAGATGTACAGGCAGATGTTGAAGGCGGTACCGGTGGTATAAAATAGAACTGTTCCCTTGTAGAAAACATTCAGGTGAAGGCGGTACCTTTAGCGTTTAATATGCGTTTCACAGACATTGGATTAAGCATGCCAGACCTTGGACCATCTACTAACGCTAGCGTTGATCGTATCAGCTCGTAAAAGTCGTATCGGGAGGCCGTGCGCCTGGAAAAAGTTCAAGTTTGGCATCACCACAACTTTTAGTAATTGAACGGTATCATTGTTTTCGGGCCGTGCGCCTGGGAACAGTTCAATTTGTGTATTGCGTTGATTTCTAAAACTTATATTTGATCATTCTTTCAATGAGGCAAACGCTGGTTGAATGAATAAAGATGCTAAATGAACAAAAGCAATGCGAATGAATGGCAAATAATGCAAGTACAGTAGGTGGTGAAAGGTGTGCCTGTTCAATTCCCAAAAGGTCTGCCTAGCCGGAGTTCCGTTGGGAGAAAGAATCAGTAGCTGAGATATTCTCAGGTTTTAGCTGCTCATTCTTTTCACAACAAGTGCCAGCTCAAGTGGGGCAATCCCGCTTCAGAAGCTCATGGCGAGCTCCTGGACAAACCATATAGACTGACCTCGTATTGACCTCGTATAGACCTCGTAGCAGATCTCGTATAAATGATTATAACTGCATCCTTTTCCACCACAGTTTTTGATATGCAACCCTTCCGTCCAAACCTGACTTGTGAATCCGGAGTTCCAGATTGAATTAAAACACACTGCGCATGACATTCTGGCAGGAGTAGTCTTGAGAAGCGGAGTTTACATGGGGATTTGCTCAAGTGGTTTGGGCAGGTCTGAAGCATCAGTAAAAGCCAGCGTTCCATGGCAACGGTGAATCATCAACCAAATATGTTTAGTAGTTTGGGTACCGGCGTTCCATTGGAAAGAGGCTTCTGGAAATGAGCGTTTTCACGTCTACAAACTGTAGACGTCAAAACGTTTCCAGTGGGTTTCATAGTCCAGGTCCTGCCTTTTCTGACTTAGCCGTGACCACGGCGTTCCATGCAGGAACACATATTCTAGCACCACCGGTCCTGCCTTCAACGTTCACCTGTAAAGAAGATTAAAGAAGGTTCTCATATGGTCTCATCAATATTATATTGAGAAAGTAGTAGGCGCAATTGTTACTGACATCACGGCAGTTCCTTGGGGAATTTTGAAGACAAGGTATGACAAGATGATGTTCATGTTTTGTGCGCCTGTATTGTCACGAAAGGTAGCCTAGGCTACCTGAGTTCTATGTACTTTAGTACTAGTTTAGTACTGGGGGAGGTGGCTGCTCCTTTCCCGGAAATTGAGACCCGAGAGTCATGAACGGAGACTTAGGGGGGGGG